GTACCAAAATGTGCCTTCTAACAAGTGAGTCCCTCACAGCGACAAGTGGCTGTCACACAGTGGGTTTTGTCATCTCTCTGTCATTGGTCAAATTTCCGTGTTTATTATCACCGCCACGAGCATCACGCCATCACATGCTTGTTGTTGCATGATTTAACTGGCGGATGAATCTCTGAACCAGCTTGTTTTGGGGCATGCGTCCGCATTCGGTGCTGTGATTATCAGGGTCTGAAACAATCCTAACCTTTTATTTCAACTTTGTCATTCATTTAAATTAATTTTTAAATATTTTTAATATTATATTTATTAAAATAAAAAATATAAAAAATTTAATATTAAATCTAAACTATTTAAAATATATTTAAATAATTAATTTATAAAATTTATAAATTTTTTAATATTAAATTAGATTATTTAAATTATATTTAGACTGTCTAAAGTTCATTTGGGCAATTAAATTATAAAATTATAAAATTTTAAATATTAAATTAGACTACTAAATTAAATTTGAACTGATCAAATTGATAATGAATATATTTATTAAAATTTTAAAATTTTTATATTAACAAATATATTATTAAAAATATTTAAAAATTAATTTAAATGGATAGTAGAGATCAATTTGAACTAAAATTGAGGGTTGAGATTGCTTCTAGTCTTGATGAGCAAGCGGTGCGATGAGCACCCAATGCAATTCATTTTGGTATTTGAGTCTTGAAATATGAAATTGTGTTAAATAAATATAATAAAAATATCTTCAAAGTATCTATAAGATTGTTGTTAGTAATAACTGTGTTACTTAATAAGAGTTTGGATTAATTTAAATGGAAAGTGATAATATTTTCAAATTACCTAGGATACTGGACAATAGAAGATATTTAGGTGGCCTGAAAGATAGAATATTTTTTTTTTAATTTTATACTATCATAATATATATCCAAACTCTAAAAAATAAAAAATAAATATCTAATGTGTCAATTTGAAAGTGTATAAGGTATGGTTGCTGGATTCAAAAATCAAGGCTAATGTGGTGAGCACCACAATAAAATATTATCATACATTTACAAATTGGTTATATTTTATAAACAATATTTCTCCTGATTTAATTTTTGTGAAATAATTAATACTTCTTGTATTAAAAAATGTAAAGTATTTTTTGAAAAGTTAAATTTTTAAAAATGTAAGGCATTTTTAATCTTTTGAGGTATAATCATTGTTTTTTTTTTAAAGTGCTCTTATTGATAAATGACTTTATATTTATTGTAAGGTGTTTAATAGAGGTAAATATAAAAATATACGATTAGTTTGAAAATAAGTAACTATTTTATTGGATAGTAATATTTAATTAAAAAAACTTTATATTTTTTAATGGAGGGAGTAGCTCAGTTTATTTACATGTTTATTTGTTAGTGAAACATATCAAACACCTAAAATATTCGGTGAACATAAAAGTGCACATTTAAATATACATTTGGAACTAGTCTAATTTGTTTATATACTTGTATAAGAATTGTTTTTTAAGGATCTGAAGAGAATTTTTTTTATAGGTATAGGAAGTTCTGTTTGGAAATTAGAAAAAAAAAAAAACTTAAACAAGTAATTTGAGTCCTTTCTTTTAGGCATATAAATATAGGGTTTAAAAGTATTTTTATTTTTTTAAGCTAAAAAACCTCAATTATTAAAACTCAACTTCCACCAAAAGAGGGGACTAAATAGATAGCTCGATATACCTACTTGAATTGTTAGCTCTAGATGAACCATACTTGCTAATTTAGATATTATAAATTTACTAATGTAAATATTTACCATTAAAACTTATACACACACATATTAAGATAGTCTTAAAAATCTTTTTATGGTACAAAATACAAAGTATGTATATAATAATTTTATAATTTACTCTTGATCAATTATATATATTTCATTTTCCTTATCTTTTATACCCTAGTTCCAAGTGCCATCACATGTACTTATGTTCATTTCCAAACATTTACTTGTGGCTAAAGGTTTCCAATACACACACACATTAATCGAAATATTATTTATGTTGCTCAAGGAGCCAGTCATCTTCCCTGATTAATTATTTTCTAAAAACAGTGGTTGGCTCAATCATCTTCTATCATATATACCAAAAAAATCTGACCTATTCGGAGGATTAAAACAGATTTTTTTTTTTTTAAAAAAGATTCCCTCTAACAGAGCCTGTCCTTCTCATAATGAGCCGGCCGTGTTATCTCCCTTGACCATAAAAAGGATGCATCCTTTACATTCTTTCTGGTCTTATATATAAAGAAGGGAGAGAAAAATTTATAAGATATGTTTTTGTTCTAAATTTTTTTGGTCATATATATTATTAATATATACATTTAAAAATAATACAAATTAATTTTTTTTAATTTTTAAAAAGAATTAACAAGTTTTAATATTTTCTTTACTTCCAGCGTAACATGTTAAAAGCGAATCGTGAATAAGATAATAGTGCTAGCGCATTAGTAGGATGTGGGTGTCCATTTCTCGGCTTTCATTCAATTATATCATGAGTAAAATACATTTACAATCTGCTTATAAAAAAAAATTTACAATCTCTGTATTTTACTTTAATTATGTATTCCTCTCTTTTATTTTTAAAATACATATCAATATCCTTAAAATCAATAGGTGCAAAACACGAATAATATCACTTCTAATTTTAAGGTTTCATTTTTTATTCACACAATCATCAGTTGACTATTAAATTACATATGTTAGGCCAAAATGTTACATTTTTTTTCATATTTTAAGATTATTAGTTATGTAAACTTATTTATTTAACATTTTTTCAAACACTTAAATATATAAGTTTGTTCAAACAATATTTCAAATATCTATGTACAAAACACTTAATACAATAGGTATTTAATATAATAAGAGATAAATTAGTGAATATAATTTTTCATAAATTTTCTTTAAATTTTATAATTTTAATATAATTTTTAAATTATTTATTTAAATATTCTCATACTTAGTTATTTAAAGTTTCTTAAATAACGGAGAAAGAGTATACAATTAGAATAGAAGGGAAAATTAATACTTTAAATTTTTTAACATAATTACAAATGATTTTTTAAAAAATATTTAACAGAATATTCCTAATAGTATCAAGAAAGACAAATTGGCTTATTGGCCAAAAAAAATCTTGTATATAAAAAATATGAACCAAAATTTTAAAATTTTGAATATGGTCAATTCACATTGATATACAAAAGATTATTATTGATATAAAAAAATTTATTATTAAAAATTTAAAAATTTACAAAAGTTTATCATTGATATACAATGGTTATATAATTGACAAATATAACAAATCGATCATAATATAAAATATAACAAATGTTTAACTGTTTGCTTAGTTTGATCTTATAATATGGATTATATATCAAAAAACCCTATTAAGAATTGGATTAAAGTATATGTTTTGAAATTTCATAAGAAAAGGTATATGTTTTGAAAGTAAAGAGATTATTTTGTTACAATCTAGAATGTATCCGAGTAATGAAATTTCAGTATCCATTCAAAAAATAGAGAAGATGTATATGTAATTTTAATAAAATAAAAAGAAGGAAGTGAGTATATTTTAATCTAACGCAACAGTGGCTTCAAATAATAGCATTGTTTATAAAAACTATTTTATTTTTATAGGCATTTTCAAAATTTTAACCTGCAACATTATTAATTTTATTTTGGAATAAAAATAATTTCAATTTCAAATGCACCGCATATATATGTTATACAAAATAAAAATATAATACTTTTGATCATCCAAATAACTGCCATCACATGTACATACGTTCATTTCCAAACATTTACTTGTGGCGAAAGGTTGTCCTGTTCTTTAAAACCATAAATAGTCTTCTGAATTTTATGCATATATATTGGATTTTTGACTTTTTTCAATATCAGCAATCATTTTTCAACAAGCCATGATTTTTGTTGTTATTTACTATAATTAAAATTTTAAGTTTTATGTGTTTTCTTTTTGCTATCAAGTCTTGATCTTAAAACGTTATTTAAGGACATGCAACTCTTATAGTTAAACAACCTTGCTAGCTCTCACCTGATTTGCTTAATTTAAGATTATCTATCCTGTCCTCAACCTATAGCATTAGCAGAAAAATAACGAGAATGACAATATATATATATATATATATATATATATATATAAGTGTGTGGGGGGATAATCAACCAATATATATTAATGAAACTTGCAATCTTCTCAAGGAATTAATTTTCAGAATATGGCATTTCCTAAAAATCCCACTTGGTCTGAAATATAATATGTTTGGTATGCTCTCTCTCTCTCTATATTTTAATTATACTCTTATTTTATTATTTATTTCATGTTTTATTCAAATAATTTTTTTGTCAGAGTAAGAGCTAATTTTATTAATAAAAATACATTACAATTACTAATAAATTTTTTTAAATAAATCAAATATTAAGTATTATATTTATTTCATTTAAGAGGACAATAATAAAGATGTAATTTTTTTAAAAAACAAGATTTTAATTTGAGAAAATAGCAATTAAGAATCTCTTTATGAAGTTTATATTAATCAAGAATTAATTATTATCAAAATTTAAATAAAAAAATTCAAATGTATTATTATTAATTTAAAATGAATTGTTATTATTAAAACATAAATAGATAGTTATTAATAAATACTAACTTAAATAGATAAGTAATTATTCAAATTTTGATAATAATTAATTTCTTAACTCATACAAATTTCATATGGAAGTCTCATTGCTATTTTCCCTTTTAATTTTTTCTTTAAGAACAGATCGTCCTCCGTTGCCTCGATCCAAGCCCGTGAGTTTCCTATTTGCCATTAGCTTTCAACACCGCGGCGAGCCTGTGAGTTTGCTACTTTCTCCTCGTTGACGTAAAAAATACCGTTTTGTATTTTTCGTCTTTCTGGCTACTGGGTCCCTCTGATAAAGACGCTTCCTGCGTTACTCGATTCGGTGGGGTGGCCTGGTCTCCATGTGAGCTGCTTTTACCCTCTCTTCCAGTCTTTCTCTCCCTTTCTTGCCTCGTCGCCATGTTTATTTTCCTTCGCTCTTTCCTCCCACATTCATTTCACAGTCCCCGAAACATGGAAAGTGGGAACATTCATTGTTAATTTATTACGACGATGCGGTCTGTTTAATATATTTTCCCTTCTTCTCTTCCTCCTTTAATTCTCTCCTATTTATGACACTACCTTGTAACTGTTGGAATATCATTCAACTATAAGTCACTTTGCGGATCCGAGGACGAGCTCTGCTGGTGAAAATGGAGCTCAAGAACCAGAATCACTGGCAGCCATACGGACATAGTGTACTGTCTAGCTTTTCCTTGCTGTTCTTCACCGTTTTCTTGGCGAGTTCATTCACTCAGTTGAGCCATGCCTCGCCTTCAATGTACTCGGTATGTTATAGATGTTTGTTTCAGTTTCCTCTCTTCATTGGCTCGATTTACTGCTCCAGATTTTTTCTCCCATTTCTACTTTTGGATGCATATGGAGCATGCTGTCCCACTCTCCCGGAAGTTTTGGTTTTTCTGTCTTGTTTTGCAATTTTAATATATACCCCCCCGGGTTTTTTTTGGTAACTGAAGCCCAACCGTATGTAGTTTTCTTGTGGATTCTGAAATTTCCAGTGTATTGTTTCTTATGTTTTCTCTTGATAACGGAAATTGAAGTCTGATCACCTTTCACGCGAGAACTCTTTGTTTCAGATTTATTTAGTGTTTTTAACTGACGTTAGAAATTGCTGTTATGGTGAACTTATTACCGGCAAGAAAGCAGGAAACCGAATTGTATTTTAAAGTTGATTAATTTAATTCTGTTGACGTACAATGGTTGATTAAACTTATCTAAGAATGAGACAGTAAAATTTTAGATCTCAGGTTGATTAACCAATTGATATCTGTCATTTGCTGAATTTTTTATACAGCTAGAATAACCTTCAAGAAAATCAGTCATCATTTTGCTACCAGAAAGTGAAACTGGTCTTTTTGTTTCAGAATGGCAGTATCTTATAACTTGAAACCTCCTTTATGCAGGCACAGGGTGCTATAAAACCTCGGCACTTGCGTCTACTCAAGAGTGCCTTAGAACGTGAAATTGTAAGACTTGATTCAGCAGCCAATACATTTTTGAATTATTTACTGAATTCTGCAAAATCTTCCACTTTATTATATTATATATTACCATTTTTCTCTGCATGTGTAGTCAACATCACAACTTTCTGATCAGTGGACTCCTCTGGAAAACCAAGGCTGGAGATCATGTGTGGAATGCGGAAGTGAACAACGTGAGTCAAATTATTACGATGCAAAGTCTTCTGTCTGTGTGTTTTTCTTTTTTCTTTTTTAAAATGAGAAACCTCAGAACACTTTGGTACTAAGTTATGACTAGTTCTTGCTATATTTCCGTGACTGGTACTTGAAATCTGAGCAGCATTACCAGACAAGTCTGAGGGATATATCCAAGCGTTTCTTGACGGAGGGTTAAACCAGCAAAGGATGGGGGTAGGAATTTAAAGCATATCATTAAGATCAACATTGTTGTCATATATGGATGTATAAAAATGGATGACTTGTAATGTTGCGTCTTTAAAGATATGTGATGCAGTTGTTGTTGCGAAGATACTGAATGCAACTCTTGTTATTCCATACCTTGAAGTTAATCCTGTTTGGCGGGATTCAAGGTACTTGCAGGAGTCACCCTTCTTTGCCCCCCCCCCACTTTTATATTTATCCCTTGGATTGTGAATGATGTACATTCTGGTGTCTTCTCTACAGCTCCTTCAAGGATATATTTGATGTGGATCACTTCATTGATGTACTAAAAGATGATATTTCTATAGTTAGAGAGCTACCTGAAGAGTTCTCTTGGAGCACGAGGGAGTATTATGCTACTACTACACGAGATACCAGAATCAAGGATGCTCCTGTTCATGCCTCTGCCAACTGGTATCTGAAAAATGTTTTGCCTGTTCTACGGAGGTTGGTAGTTACCTGAACCTGTCACTTTATATTTGCCAATGAATGAGTTGTTTCTGGGTCACGCACCTGCCAACTGGTATCTGGAAAATGTTTGCCTGTGCTGCAGAGGTGGTAGTTACCTGAACCTGTCACTTTATATTTGCCAATCAGTGAGATATTTTCGGGTTTGTGTGTGGTTAAGAACAAAATTTTATATGGTTACAATCATTTTGGCATTTGCCATGTATAATCATCAATCTGATAATCTCTGGAAATCTGTTATGATAATCTGTACTTGATTATTCTCTGAAAACACATTGCACAAGCCTTCATTGCTCAGTTGTTATCATTACTTTGTCTTGGCTTCAAGTAAAAAAAAAAATTAAAAAAAAACAAGATATGTATTTTCAGAGTTCAGTAATTTGGGCTCAGATGCTGAGATATGAATTGTTACATCAATGTTTTCTTGTGTAGCTAAACTTATCTTCAAATCTTGGTTGTTAGATTTATGATATCAGAGTCTGGGCCTTTACCATTGGCTCCAATCATGGCCTCTTTTATGTTAGTTTTCATCGTCACAAGTGAGCTGCACCTGCATGTTGATTTTTCTTTAATTATTTATTTTAACAACCTAAAATTTGGTACAAATAACATGTCATATGCATGAGATGTAGCAAAACATCAAATTTGATGGCATTTAAGTAGCCGGACATGATTAACATTTATGCTCTACCTTGAGGGTATGCGTTAAAAGAAGCTTATTTTAGTCTGATTATCCTTTGTGAAGCCCATGATTATGTTCATAATACATGGCTAGAGTTCTTACCTCGTTTACAGTTTACCACTTCCCAAAGTCCTCTGCTCATCATTAGTCTAAAATACTATGAGCTTTTGATATTCTAGAATCTTCTATTTGGTGCAGTCATGGTGTTGCTGCAATTGCTCCATTCTCTCACCGTCTGACATTTGACAACTTGCCTATGTATATCCAACGGCTACGCTGTAAAGTCAACTTCCAAGCATTACATTTTGTTCCTCACATCAGAATACTTGGAGATGCTCTTATCAGCCGCCTTCGCTATCCTCAAGGCTCTGCTGGAGAAACCAACTACCTCAAAGAGGTCACTGATGCAGGCGATAAGAGAAGGGCAGGGAAATTTGTTGTGCTTCACCTACGATTTGATAAGGTATTGCTTTAACCTATCTGTTGATGATCATATATCAAGTATCAACATGGGGTTGAAATATTTCCCTTGCTTGTTTCCTTTATTATGGTGGAGCAACATTTGGAACATTCCTCATGTGCTTGGGTTGCATGTCACTTCTTAAAAAAGAATATGCAATAAGTGAATGAATAGTCGTAGCAAGATTTTTAGGCTTTTAGCCTTGGAAGTTATAAATATGCCTACTTTCACTTGCATATATTCAAATAATAAGAGGAGGTGTTTGATTTTGCATTCATATCCAAGTGATAGACAACCTTTCCTGAATGATCAAGCAGCAAGTTAATGAAACAAAAACACTGGTTAGCGTGATTAATAGAATATCTTTACCATTAGGTAAATCGTCACGTTTCCTTCCATTTGAATGCTATCCGAATTGACAGGAAAAGGAATCTTTTCACTCTCTATCCATCCTTTGGTTTGTGGAATCACTGTAACTCTGAACTTTTACATGCCTTAATTCTTCATTTGGACTTGGTTGATCGAGCTTTTAATGTCCTGTAGGATATGGCGGCGCATTCAGCCTGTGACTTTGGTGGAGGCAAAGCTGAAGAACTGGCTCTTGCGAAGTATCGACAGGTGATTTGGCAGGGAAGGGTTCTTAATTCACAGTTCACTGATGAAGAATTGAGGAGTCAGGGCCGTTGTCCATTGACACCAGAAGAGATTGGATTGCTGCTAGCAGCTTTAGGATTTGACAACAGCACACGTTTATATCTTGCCTCTCACAAGGTCTACTAGTTTTGCTTTATAGTTTCTCTCAATACTGACCTGATAATGTGAGAATGAGACACTTCTGATTTCTCAGTTGTTAAGTGCAGTTATTGTATTTTCCAGGTATACGGTGGGAAAGCAAGGATTTCAACTCTGAGACAATTGTTTCCTCTGATGGAGAGCAAAAAGAGCCTTGCTTCGGCTGACGAACTTTCACAGATCAAGGGAAAGGCTTCTTTATTGGCAGCTGTTGATTACTATGTTGGCATGCACAGTGACATCTTCATCTCTGCTTCCCCAGGAAATATGCACAATGCATTGGTGAGTAGTGCTGGATGCTTTTCAAGATATGTAAGATAAACTTTCATTGATATGACTGTCATATTAGGATCAAAGACTATATTAAGAATGAAAAAATTCACATGTTCTAATATTTTAAATATCATAGACTTTATTATAACGATTTAGCATAGGCTATGATGGTAGATGATGATCAATGTTGTGATGCTGACAGGTTGGACACCGAACTTACTTGAATTTAAAGACCATTAGACCAAACATGGCATTGATGGGTCAACTCTTCATGAATAAAAATATCGGTTGGTCGGAGTTCCGGCAAGCAGTGGTGGCAGGTCACCAGAACAGACAAGGTCAAATCAGGTTGAGAAAGCCAAAACAGTCCATATACACATATCCTGCTCCTGATTGCATGTGTCAAGCACACACACACGAGTTGCTCACGGATGAGTAGCCTGTGTGTGCTAGAGTTCAGTGGCTTAATTATTATTTATAACACTGGTCGCTTGATGAAATAAAAAGAGCATTGACACTCCCATTTTCACGAGGGTCGATCACGATGTTCTTGATAAGGGAGCTCGAGGGTTTGTATTGTGAAGGGATATTTATTTGTTTTGTATCTGATTTACGCTATAACCAGGGCAGTATTGTTATATAGTATCATTAACTCATTCCCACATTTCCTGATCTCTCTCTCTCTGTGCCCCCCCCCCTTCGGCTAGTAACATCATGAAGTCGGAAAACCATGTGAATAGTAAAACTGTAAAATCATTCCCGCCATGCTATATAGCGTAAGGATAGGTTTTCCTCAAGGAGTAGGTTTCTGGCAGCACTGATTATCTCTTACCATTCATCTTTAATTTTTTTTTTCCCAATCTAAAAAACTGAGCACAGAAAATGTTAAAGATGACGATTGGATATATGAAAAATCAGTACTGAAAATATAAAATATGAACATTGAAAAAATTAAATAAGAATTTTTTGATTTCAGTTAAAAACTATGGTCATTTTTTGAAATTTCAAAAGATTCAAGAACCTTAACTGTCTGTAATTAGTATGTCATTTTCACACTTTTTTTTTTGAGCCAGCAAATCCCTGGCACATGCAGGAAGGGTTGTTCTATTATCATATGTGGGACACACCGTACAAGTCTGATTTGGTCGTGAAACAAAAGGGGGGCCAAAAAAAAATTAATAAATTTTTTTAAATTATATAAATAAAAATATAATTTCTCATAATGTCATAATCTATGTCAATAAATTTTAAATTAAAAAAATTATTATTCTAATTAATAAATTATAATTTTTTTTAATTTTTGTCATTTATTGAATAAAAATTATGATTGGAGTTTATGACTTTGAGAACCTGTTTTTTAATAATTAAAATTATAGTTGATAAATTATAATTTTTTATTTAACTCTTATGATTCATAAAATAAAAATTATTATTTTTTAAATAAAAATTATGATTGAGATATTTTTCAATTATAAAATTTATATTTAATAAGTTATGATTTTTTATTCAATTTTTACAATATACAGAATCAAAATTATTATTCGTTAATAAAAGTTGTGATTGAAACTTATTATTTTTAATAAAGAATAAAATGATTTTTTCATTTTAAAATTTATTAACACAATTTTTTTAAATATTTTAATAAAATTATAACATTTTCACAGATTAAATTATGAATTATGTTTTATAGAATTTGAAAAATTTTATTGTCATCCTTCCAAATTCTCCCAAAAAGAAATGCTTTTCCAAAAAAAAAAAAGAATAAAAAACGATGCCAAAAAAAGTCCGGTTTAAAAGCATAGCCACACTCGGCGGGTTTTGGTGGGGAACCATGGCCTGAAAGAAGCACGCCGAGAACGAGATGGGAGACGACGAGACTGTGAAGAAGGAGGCGCTGCAGATAATTGGACTTTTCCAGAATCTTCCCCGTCTTGTCGTCTTCGATCTCGATTACACACTTTGGCCTTTCTATTGGTATTCTCTCATTTGTCCCTCTCGATTGATTTACTATGATATTAACATTCGATCAAATTTCTGAACTTTTTTTCGCCTCTACACGTTTATTTATTGCATGGGCATGGAAGCAATTACGTATTAAACAACAGAAATTGGACTTTTGGTTATTCTAGGAAAGGCGGAAGGAGGAAATGAATACTAGATGTTTGCTTTCGAATAATTTCCTTGTTCATGACAGTTTTTTCCTGCTGAATCTGGTTCTACCCTACGAATTTGGATCCTTTTCGAGTGGAATTGGAAAGATATTTATTGTATTGATTGAGAGTCGTCTATCATTGAAATGAAATGAAATCATTATATGGTTTATAGGCAAAAGACCAAAATTGTTTACTTCGTTTAGAATTGTCCTTGTTGTAATATTAAGGCGGGTCTGGTCATTGATTTCTCAATATTTCTTGATGTTGGTAGTACGCTCAGCTTCTTTCTTTTTTGTTCTTCTTCTTCTTGTTTTTTTTTTTTTTGACCTGAAGCTCGCAGAAGAGTAGTATTATAAAACTATATGTATATATTGTGGAAACAAATAAAACAATAGAATATCACCTGCCTTTGGTCCTAAATTTAGGAGGTAGATAACTAATTTACAATGATTAAGAAGGTTACTTGAGTTAATTATTTGTAAAAAAATGTGTGTTGGTTTTCCTAAAATATCCTTTTAATCATTTACATCATAAACTATTCCTATTGATGGAAACCCCCCTTTAAGATGTGTAATAAATGGGATAGTTTGGGGAAAATTATGAATTTGGGAGACTAAGCAGATTGAGGTCTTACATTTAGGACTGAAAAAGAAAACCCCTGAACTAACTCCTATATTTAGGATGGGAGGGAATATTCACTAAGATGTTTATGGACTTTCATGAGTTTTTTTTATTAATTATGTCTTATGAGTTGTTCTTAGTTCTTAATTTCCATTTTGAATATGTTGAATTGCTTACTTGTGAGCAAACATGTGCGAATCATACCTCAAAGGTGTAATATTATTCAAAATATACAAGTTTACCTATAGAATCCAGGAAAGTTGAACCAATTAGTCCTTTTTTTTTTGGCCCCTATAGATCATATACGATTTTGATTTAATATTGTCTCAGTTGTCCATGGTACTTAGTTTTTTTTAAGTATTTTGTCAGCGAGTGCTATTATGAAGATGACACCCCTTACCTTTATCCACAAGCAAGAGGAATATTGTATGCACTTAAGGAGAAGGGGATAGATGTGGCAATTGCTTCTAGATCTCCGACTTCTCATATAGCTAAAACATTTCTTGACAAGCTGGGCATGCAGTCTATGTTTGTGGCGCAGGTGAGCAGATGACTAAGTTGCGCTTTTGAAACATTCTGTCATTTGGATGTGATCAAGTGATGTTCTCACCTTACGTCTATCTTTTACTTATTTATATGGATGTCTTCTTGCAGGAAATTTTCTCTAGTTGGACTCATAAAACAGATCATTTTCAGAGAATTCATAGAAAAACTGGGGTTCCTCACAGCTCAATGCTATTCTTTGATGACGAGGATCGGAACATTGGAGCAGTAAATAGTTTCCCTATTTCTATCAATCTTTTTTGCTTTAAATTTGCTTTCAGGGCAGTGAATCTTGTTCTGTGTTCGGTTGTCAAATCATTGAGACATCTATGTAGGATGTATTCACTTGGGATTCAAGAAACAAAAATATATATTTTTTTTAATAGAAAGAGCTGATTCTATGGTGAGGTTCATGAATTTCTTTTGATCCATCTGATGTATGCACAGGTTTCCAAAATGGGTGTGACAAGCATTCTGGTCGGCAATGGAGTAAACCTTGCAGCCTTGAGGAACGGATTGTCACAGTTTTCTCGAAACTCAGGCTCATCAAGCAGTAGCTAATGAAATGAATGTTGCGTCAAGAGCTTGTGTTGTTCTAGATATAAAATTAGGTTTATCAGTGGGGAGATTCTGGTTGGAGCAATGTTGACTATGGTAAACTTGTAATAATTGAACCTGATTCATTTGTAAGCATTTTCCAACATACAAATATGCCTTGTTGCTTATAGGGAGATGGACAATGTTGCAATTAATATGGTAAAATAATTAACAATGCTGGCTACAAGTTTCTTCGCAAATATTTAGGTAAAACATGTAGCTTTTTTTTTTTTTTAATAAATGGAGTGGTTACTGAAGGAGATTGTTGGAGTTCCGAGAATTGACCATGTTCAGCCTCTGGACAAAAAGCTGATAAATATAACAAATGTTGGCTTCTTCATTAAAGAAACTGGGAATAAGATGGGAAACAGTTATCGAAAAAAGAAAAAAATCTGCATGCACAAGAAGATATCAATTAATTTCATAGGCCATTACATCGTCATGTTTCAGCCATGACGGTTTTGTTTTTTTGGGGCAGAAAATGCAAACGTAAACAACATCCATCCGGTATCTTTTTCCACATTTCTATGCTAATTGTTGAGCTCCTTAAATGGTGACCTTACATCAGAAACGACCTCCACTTTCTTTGTCCCTACAGGAGAATGCATTTTAATATTCTCTTTCGTGAGAAATTCATCCTCCTCTGAAAAATTCATCCCTGGGCAGTCATTCTCAAATGAATGTGCAATGCTTCCCAACTTATCCATTAGTCGTGTGTCTGTGGCTGAAAATTCACATATCTTTTCATCCAGTCCCATAATGAAGCATAACAAGTTTTCCCTTTCTGACAACAATTTAGTGACATTTTCAAGTAAATTTCTGTTCTCCATCTTGAGTTTATGATACGAGGCATCCGAGCTTTTGAGCCTAGTCTCTATTTGATCAGTCAACCCCTTCAACGTCAATTGTTTTACTTCCATTTCTGCTTCAATTTTCAATGCAAGTCGTTCAGACTGGCTCCATCTTTCCTCCTGCAGTTTCAGTTTCTGTTCTAGATTAAGGATATCATCCTCAAGTTCTGCTATCATCAACTTCCTCTCCTCAGTTTCAAGAATTGCCATAATCTCAGCTGCTGTAATCTTATCACAAGCATCCTGGACCAAATTAATCTCAGCCTGCTTCTCAGCAAGCTGTGAAGAAAAGGAGACCCATGAGGTAGAGAATTGATGTCCAAGTGAAGCTGCCTGATGCATGACTTTCTCCAGATCCAGCTTTTTCTCATGCTCATAAGTTCCCCCAACACTTTCAAATTCTCTTCTAAATGATTGACCCCTTGCTAGAGAAGAAGCTTCTTTCTGCCTTCTTCTTACTTCTTGTTCCAGTAGGATAACCTGTTGCCGAAGATCATCTACTTTTATCTCATTCTCTTTCAATTTGTGAATCAAGCTTTCTTTCTCTTGTTTGATGTTTTCGACGAAGTCTACTTGTGCAAGAAGTGAGTTTTCCAGTTCTTTACGCATCGTATGATTTTCTTCAAGCTCATTCTTCAACCGTTCAACAATTGATATCCATATTTGCATTTCATATTCCATCTCATTCACTTCGTATATTTTCTCGTCCAACTCAGTATTAGCTCTGTCTAAAGCATCAGAAACTTTTTTAAGCTTTTCTCTTGAGTTACACTCCATCTGCAAAGTCTTCTCTTCGAGGAGAAGTTGACACTTTGTGGACTCGTCTAGCATTTCCTTGTACCTATCAAGTTCATTTTGCAGTGAATGGAGCTGTTCCTTGGTGACGCTCAAGGAATCAGCCTCCTTCAGGAGACATGCTACTTTCTCACGTTCTTCACTGATCTCTTTCTGGGCCCTGATCAAAGCAGCATTCTTCATCTCTAACAAATTCATCAGTTCAGAACATTTCTCTTCTCTTTCTTTGTTAATTAGATCCAGCTCGCTCTTATTCAATTTCTGGGCTTGGATCAAAGCAGCATTTTTCATCTCCAACTGCTTCACCAATTCAAAAGACTTCTCTTCTCTTTCCTTGTTGATCAGGTCCATCTCCTTCTTATCATTGACCACCTTGATCTGAGCCTCAGAAATTCCCTGTTTAAGAACGAGCAGCAACAGAGACATCTCCTCCTTCAGCAAATCCGGCTCCATAATTAAAGAATGAGAATTTTTCAACTCCCTTTTGAGTTCTTCTATTGCTTCTGTCTTATTTTCCAACTCCATTTTGAGCTCTTCTGTTGCTTCTATCATATTTTCCCATCCAGACCGATAGCCAATAAGCTCTTCTGTCATTTTTTCTAGCTGCAACTTCCATTCAGCTTCTTTAGAGTGTAGAGTTGAGGCGCACTCTCTGTGGATGTTTTCCAAACTTCTGAGCTTAGATCGCATCTTTGACTGAGAAAATGAAGCTCCTGCTTCTTGAATTTGAGCTTCCCGGAGTTCTTTTAGCGATGCCCTCAATTCTTTATTTTCTTGCTCCAGCTTCTGAATGGTGTATTTTAATTCTTTAGAGTGTGCTTCCTTTGTTTTCAGTGAATACCTCATGTCACCAATATCTTTGTCCCGCTGAGAGTGAAATTGATCCAGTTCGAACCTAGCATTCTCATACTCACTACTGACATTTTCAAAACGTTCTTTGTAATCAGAAAGTTGAACTTCAAGGCGCTTTCTCCGGCTTTCTTCATGAGCAAGGGCTTGGCTACACATCTGCAACTGGTTTTGCAGATTCTCTGATATTCTGATTTGAGAATCTAATTTCATCTGCAGCGAAGAAATCTCATCAAGCAACGATGATTTTTCCAACTCCCACTCCTTCTTACTTGACCTGAACTGTTCTCGAACCTTCTCATGTGCTTCTTCTAAATGTTTAAACTGCTCCTTCTTCCATTTCAATTGTTCTGCCACCTTCCTGTTTTCATCCTCTAAGTTATGTAATATGTCATCACTTTTTCTCAGTTCTTTGGATGCTTCTGATATTTTCTCTACTTCCAAACACCTCTTTGAAGCTGAAAGACAACCTTTGAGGCTCTCAATCTCTTGCCTGTACACATTAATCTGCTGATCTTGATTCTCCGCCTTCTCAACTGCCTCCTCTAACGCCAACACCAATCCTTTCTTCTCATCTTCCCATTTTTTTAACTTTTCATCACAATCCACTCGAAGTTTATCATTTGCAGCACTGAGATGTTTGATGATGGACTCTTTTTTAACCAAATCCCCCTTGAGATCTTCACAGTTCTGCTTTGCCTCAGTGATTTCATCTTCCTTTTGAAGCAGCTCTTGCTCCAATTTCTCATTTTTTAGCTTTGCTTCCCGTACCTGATTGACCTGTGCGTTTTGGAATTGCTTCAAGTTCTCAAGCGAATCTGTCTTGCTTCTTAGTTCTGCCTTGAGTCTCTCAATTTCAGCTTTAGTGTCATCAAGCTCTTCATAAGCCTTGTCCATGTCTTGTATTTCATATATGTGACTTTCAAAGAACCTGTTTATTTAGAATCAACACACAATCAAAATCTAAGACAAGAGGTGTTGCATATCCCTGTTTAAATATGGCCAAACCAGAAAAAGTTGCGTATCCCTGTGACCTAGATTGGAGCGGGGACACACTTTCCATTTCAGTCGACTTAGACAAGCATGTTATGCATTCTTCCGAGATCCAAATGTTGAAACTTAAAAGAGCTTTATATATATAGACAGACACACACACGCGGTCAGAATAAGAGCACAACTAGTGAGATTTCATCACTTGAAAGTGCTTTCTCCCAAAAAAAAAAAAATATGATCACTTCACAGAGTTGCCTTCCATATGCATAGGAAGGAAGTGAGGAATTGCCAATTATTTGGTATGCCGAGAAATTTTTTCATAATACAGGATAATGATAAAATAGCATTATTTTATGTAACTAAATACCCTTGGGATGGAGCTACGCTTTTCAGAGAATACGCAGTGTTCAGAGAACTCAAACTGTTATAACAGTCCAAACTATAAATTTCATGCATTACTTACGCCAGCTGCTTGGTTAACTTAATTGAGAAAAGGAATATAATTCTGATATGAAAAATACCAACAGAGTCTTTCCCAGTTAGAGTTGTTCAGTCATAAGATATCAAGTTCCAATTTCCTCACTTTTTTCACACGCAAGTTTTGTTTACCTTATTTATCCTCTTAAAGCAAATGGGCTTTCAATTTTCTCTACAGTTTAATTGATATAATTCTAATTAACAAATCATGCATACAAAATTTTATTATAACAACTCAGAATGAAGGTGACGTTAAATTTTCTAAACCGAACAAAACTTCTTATTAATGAAGTAAGAGTAAAAAGAAAAAAGTGGCTCCAGGCAAACGGATGATAATAGTCATTAACTCCAACAGAGAAGCATTCATGCCAGCAACTAAAACTAGAATTATAAGATCTTAACTGATCTAGTTTGAGAAACCCAGAAATGCACCTGATTTGGAGATTGCAAATGCAGCAAATACCCGAGACTCAGCGGAGGTGTTGCGCAATTTGCTCAGCGAAGAAGGAGGTAAGAGGAAATCGGGGATGAGAGAGCGATCGAAAAGAAGATAACCGTTAAACTTAGACGTGCTTTAGGTTTGAAAAGGCGTGTAGCAGAGATGATTTTTTTTTTTTTTCTTTAACCCTGATCGCTTCGGATTCTTCATCAACTGCTTTACCCAAGCGGAATACGGTAGTTATCATGTTTTTTAAAAGGAGAACTAGCCGTTGTTTTTTTTTTTTTTAATATCTGTTGGGACTTGCGGAGACTGGAGAATTGTGATCGACGTGCCTCCAAATGGGCTCTGTAATTTTAAGTCTAGGCCCAATTTCTGTGACACTAGTTGGGCTCTTTTAGCATTTTTCTTAAGCAAAAGGGATGGTAATCCCATATCATCATTTATGCTCCATATGCAAAATTTGGTGGAAAATAACAGTTAGATATCAAAATATCAAGGTTAAATGGTAAATTAACCTTCAAATTATAGATTTAGAAACATGACCTTAAATTTTTATTTTTCAATGCAATGTTGCTCTTCAACTTTTGAAAATTGTGCTGTAGGACTTTTATTATTAACAAATATTAACTTTATCCATTAACCAAAAAATTATAGAAAATGAATAAGAAAAATTTTTTGGTCCTTTTTGTAATTTTTTGTCCATGTCTGTAATTTTGAATCATTTTTCATAATTTTTTTCTTTTTTATAATTTTTGATATTCTTGTTCAAAATTTTTTAATTAATTAACTGTCAAAGTTAACTTTTTTTAATGATAAGAACGATATTACATCTTTTTTAAAAGGTTATGGGAGAATATTGTTCAAAAATAAGTTTAGGATATTAGATGCTTATAAATCTATAGTTTAATGATGAAATAGCCTTTTAACCAAGTATCAAATAATGTAAATTAATTTTTTAAAACAATTTTTTGAAAATTAATTTGAAATTAATGATTAAAACGGTTGCAAATTGGGAATTACATTAAAAAATATAATATATTATTTACAATTGAGACTCCTAAATTTACAACAGTTTAAATTAATAATTACAACTCATTTTTCTAAAAGGTTTATTAAAAATATAACTGTCATTAAATTGATATTTTGAGATCTACTGTGCTTTCCAAAAGAATTATTATATTTTTTTATTATTACTTAATTGTACTTATTTTTTCAACACAACAAAAAGAGTTCCGTGAAGCTAGCAAGAAAACTGGAGAAATGAATGTGGACTTGGCATCAGTCTGCTTTGATTTGGAATTTGTGTTTCTTTTCTGCATCCTCTCCCAAATTTTCCAAAAAGGACTTTGGTTTTAATGAAATTTTCAAAAATGACGACGCAGAAAAATATGCATGAAATTTCGTGAGAGAAAGAAAAGGATAGATGGTGAAAGATAAAAAAAAAAATTAAAAAATATGTTATATGCAAAAATCTATATAAAAAATTAATTTTTACATAATATAATTAGCAGCCTCTTATCTTATGTTTATAAATTCAATAATTTTGTTGGGCATGAGATCAATAATTATATTTTTTTTTACCATCAGATCAATAATTTTATTGAACTAGAGAGATTACGTCTCAAAATATAAATATACGATTATAGATTCAATATTTTTATATTGAGAAGTAAGAACCTTATCAATAATTATATGTCTAGAATTAAAAAAAAATAGATATGACTTGTTTGAAATTATTTTTATTTTATTATTTTAAAACTTAGTATTTTATAGAAAAATAAAAATAATAAAAATTGTGTTTTTTTTATTTTTTTATTTTTAAAAAATAATTTCATAACACTTAAAAGATGTTTTTATTTTTTTATTCTTTAAAATAATATTTGATGTTTTTTGTTTTTGAAAACTTTTTTTTTGAAAATCAAAACACGTTATCAAGTATATTTTTTGTTTTTTGGTTCTAAAGAATAAAAAATTATTCTTAAAATAGGTTGCAAAATAAGCCTCTATAGGTTTTCAAAGAGAAGGCAAAGCTAGCTTTGTAGTCAACCTGATGTCTAATCTTGACGAGGCCAGGTTATTAATTTTTGGCTTGAGGATCGGTCTCGCTCAGATTGACTCGAGAGTAGGACAAGATTGGGTTTGGCCACAAGACTAAAACCGAGTCATAAGACTTTCCTATCTAAAAAATGGAACTTGTTGGATCATAAAAAAATCAAACTAATTTTCAAAAATAACAGAACTTAATATCTAAAAATAATAAAATCTAACATATCACACGAGCTCATAATTAAAATGGTGTGTAATATACTTCATTTAACCTTTTTTTAATAGTTTATCATCCATTAAAGAGAAGCTCAAACCCCAGGGTGCCCATTGTTAACAATATATTAAACACACACAAAACGAAGCAAAAGTTGTAGATCAAGTCAAGCTATTGCTTTGATAGTCAAATGAAGCATCATAAAAGATATTTTAAAACAAATAGAACCATCTTTGCCCGCCCATCCACTAAAACATACAAATTATATATATATATATATATATATATAGATTTCATCTGTATGGAACACTAGCAATATAACTGTCCGATGCACGGGATATTCTTGATTAATTAATATTAAATAGAAATTTAAATATTGTACAATATTTTTATATATGTATAATCATTAAATAGTAAATTTTGTACAAATATATTGTATAATTGAGATATTAAAACTTATCAATTGTCAATGAAAGATATTGGTCCAATGAAATAGGCTATGTTAATGTTTAAACACGAGGTTTTAAGTTTAAATTTATATGAATATAAAAAATGTTTTTGTGAGAGTTGCCTTTAATTAAGCTTGTCCCTCTCATTTGGGATTGAAAAAATATTGAAAAATTTTATAAAAAAAGTCATGGTGAAATTTGAAGATACAGGTGAAACATTTTAAACATTATCGATTTGTTTTGCAATGTCAATATTTTTTGTTAACTTATCTCACAAATCAATAGGCTTTTTTAATCAATTAAATTAGCCGTATCCCGTGTGCTTCATCATTCATGCCATCTATATATTTTAATTTAATATTACATGGGGTACTAAAATTTATATGTTATTATTAATCAAGAGCAAGCTCCATTTTTTGGAGTTGGTGTTGAGCTTGCACGTTTAACCTATCAAATCATAAAAAAGTGGTGGGTTGGGTTGGATCAAGTAAATGGGAGATAAGTTAGGCGTGGGTCATTTTTTAACCCACCATGACTATAATTTGCCAACTTGTGGATTAGCCCTTTTTTTTCCTCTGTTTTCTTTTAAATTTCAATTTACTCACGTAAGTCCTCCCTTGTTCAGTCAATACCTTCCAAAATTTTTAAAATCAAATACCTTATTTATCTTTCCTCTTTCAAATATGCATTTAATAAAGAATCACTGTTTTCTAAGTTAGAAAAACAATGAGAAAACCTCTATTATTTGAAACTTTGAATGAAAACCACAATTTCTTTTTTTATATAATATCATTTTTTTAGTCATTATCATAATAAGTTTTAAAAAAAATTAAATTAAAAATAACAAGAAGGAAAGAAAACAGGCAGCCAACCTTTCTTCGCAAACAGTAATGAACAAAAATAAGAGATGCGAAGTACGGGGGGCTAGAAAAAATGACAGATAGAGAGTTGCAGAGCAAACCGAGTTCGACACATGCATAAGTGATATGGAGAGGAAGATAAACCTGACTAGAAATGGCGGTCCAGGTAGATCTTCACAATGAGAGTAGAGTAGAGAATGGATTGTGTGAATAGCGGCATTGTCGAAGAGAAAGGAGGGAGACGAAACTCGACGGCAAAAAGAAAGTAGAAATAATTAAGTGATGGTGAAGTAGTTCATCTAATTTTAAGGCTTCAAGGAGTTTCTATTATCTCCTAGAAGCAGCATCTAAGATTAATTTTTTTTATGGAAAAAAATAAAGGGTAAAGGACAAATATATACACAAAGTGGTCAATTGGAGGCATCTAGTATCTTAAAGTGAGGAAAAGGATAAAAGTACCCATAACGCTATATGAGTGGGTGCAAAAGTGATCAAATTGTTAACTTTGATCTAACGCCATTAATTTTAATCATTAAATACTGACTGTATATACCACGTGTTAGTCTTTGCTGACGTGGACTAATAAAGAGATAAAAATACCTACGAAATTATTAGCTAGAAGTAAAAATACCTATAACGTTATCAGAGCTAATGCAAAAGTAACCAATTCATCAAATTCCTTAAATGTTAACTGTTTAGCTAACATTTAAGCAGAATTTGACTATTTTTCACTAATATAGACCAAAAATATTTTCAAATGAATTTTTATGGATGTTGATTGTAACACTTGCCCCGAGTGTTATCCAAAAATTACATAATTCAAATAAACTAAGTGTGGTTAAGGAGTTGATCCTTTAACCAACTTAAAACATAAATCATTTAAAACCTAAAAAAAAATTTATAGGTTCTATCTATAGCGCACGAAAGCAAGCTAGATGAAAGTGGGATAAAAAGATGCTGTTATGACAGCATTAAATTGTTGTCATGACAGCCCTCTTGAGCCAACTTTCGAGAGGCACTGTTCCGTCATTTAAACTCCGATCGAAGTGATTTTAAAACTCACACGTCAAATTCAAAGGGTACTATAAGTGTACCAAATTTCAAAAAGATTCAATGGTCAGATTAAAAATTAAACATGTTAAAAGATTGGCTATAAAAGCTGTCATGACAGCACCTCCGAACTAATTTACGGGGTGCACCATTTCATCATCCGACTTTCGATCGGAGCGATTCTAAAGCCCACATGTCACTTTTAAATAGTACTATTAGCATGCCAAATTTTGGAAAGATCTAATGGATGGATTGAATTTTGTGCATGTTGCAACATTATTAATTATTGCTATCATGACAGCACTTTTGCTGTCATGATGTAACACCCTCAAATTTACAAACCGATTTTTCGTAAATTATTAATTCAAGAAATCATTTTTTTTTTTCTTTTTTTTTTCATTGAACCCTTATCATGGTAGAAAAATTTCTGCCATGATACATCCAAGACAATATACCACAGGTCTTAAAATATCTCAAAAAAGCAATTAGAACCATGAGGGACAGACATGGTCCTCATAGCATGTTATTTAAATTAGGTCATGA